GACCGGGGAAAAATGATCGCTTTATCGAGATATTCAAATTTACGAGTTTCAAATTATCAAAATATATCTATTATTTTTTTTATAAGTTTATAGAGAATTGTTTTAACAAATGTTCGTTAGACAAACCTTTACGATGATTTTGTAATGTAGAAAATTAGGAAAGCCAAAATTCAGAATGACACGGCACACAGGGACCGGGAAAAAATGATCACTTTATCGAAAGATTCAAATTTACGAGTTTCGAATTATCAAAATATATCTATTATTTTTTTTATAAGTTTATAGAGAATTGTTTTAACAAATGTTCGTTAGACAAACCTTTACTCGGGTGAAACCCGGGCAAAGCCGGGTACATCCGCTAGTTTAAATCTATATTCAAATAACTGTAAGCACCATCTCTGTATTTGATTTTATTTTAATTCTTGTCCTATTGGTGATTTATTGTAGAGTGATTTCTTCTGTAGAAGGAATTTCGTACCTGAAAGCTAGAGAGATTTATAAAATAAAAATGTTTTAAAAGAGAGAAACTTTATTCCCGAAAGACTTCAATGATATTTTCACCTTAATATTGAAAGGAAAGAATATTTGTGGTGTCATTGCTATAACCAAATGGAAGACATTTAAATATAAATAGTCAGTTGGTTGGGTTGAAAAAAGAAAGAATATTTGTGGTGTCATTGCTATAACCAAATGGAAGACATTTAAATATAAATAGTCAGTTGGTTGGGTTGAAAAAGGAAAGAATATTTGTGGTGTCATTGCTATAACCAAATGGGAGACATTTAAATATAAATAGTCAGTTGGTTGGGTTGAAAAAAGAAAGAATATTTGTGGTGTCATTGCTATAACCAAATGGAAGACATTTAAATATAAATAGTCAGTTGGTTGGGTTGAAAAAGGAAAGAATATTTGTGGTGTCATTTCTATAACCAAATGGAAGACATTTAAATATAAACAGTCAGTTGGTTGGGTTGAAGTGTATCGTTTAATTAGTGGAAGAGATAGTGCTTTGATAAGACACAATTTGGATTATAGATTATAAACACAAAGTAATAAGACTAATATTTCAACGCTATACACTCATGGGCAAAACTTAAGAAAATGGTAAATCTTTGATTTCGCCGATCGTCTATATATATATATATTTTTAAAGAAGAACGGCAATTTTGTTCACATTTAGTTATTTGGTGTGTCTTTAATAAAGGTCACTGTAATATCTTTCAGAGTTATTGTCTGAATCCCGATATACATTGCTAAAAGGTACAACTTCTTTAAGTTTTTTTCCATGGGTGTATTAAAAAAGAAAAGTAGGGTTAAATTCTATTTCTAATTTTAAACGATAGATGGCTATGCAGCAATATTAAACAATTTTTGTGTTAGTCAGGACTACAGAATAACCATTTATATTCGAAAACTCAAGATAATAGTGTTCAAATAAAATATAATCCGTATTTTCTCCTATTTATATTCTGTTTTTGTTTAAAAATATATTTATTAACTATTTTATTTTTGAAAAAAAAGGTGTAAAATTGAAAGTTATCAATTCATAGAGATTGAAAGAACGGTTTGACCATTAATCAATTTCACAATTTATCATCATCATTATGGAGGTTTTAGCCATTAAATGCTTTTCAGTGTTAAAGGGTTAATTAATATCGAATCAATATTGACACACACTATAATTGATTTAATTCATTTATAACCCAATTTTCTATTCAAAATAAAAATTCATATAACGCTAATTCATTTTTGAAAAATTTTGAAAATAACGATTAATAATAAAAGTTATTTATTATTAATAAAAAAACATGCTTTAAAAATAAAACGCAAAGTGTGTGCTCTCTATAATTTAGGTTTGGCGAGCTGACATATATACTAAAATAAAAAAGGAATATCCTGACCACGTTCATAACAAACCCCCGACCTTTTTATTTATTTTTTATTATTTTTCATATATATATAGGTATTAAAAACAAAAAAAAATGAGACTTTCTGTTGATTTTGGAATTATTTTTAAGATTGAGATTATGATCTTGAGAATTGATATATTTTGGAATATATTAGTATTAGGTTAATGGTATTGGTATGCAGTTGTGGGAATAATAATAAAAATGGTTTTGATCAGTAATTACTTTAATTGAGCTAAAGGAATATATAAAAAACATAGTTTGATAAAAGTACTGCCTGGCTTAAGGTGTAAGAATCTAAAAATGAAAAACTTATTTACATAATGTATAAAAGGTTTGAGCCGGCCATCGGGAAACAACAACAATGAGTTTTTATATAGGGAAAGTCCCGACATCTGGTGGTAGATATAAACAGAAAATTTGAATCTATGAAATATAATTTTAAATAAAATAATATTTTAATATAACATGTATATTAAAAACAAAGTAGGCATATCCTGACCACGAGCACATGTGCTTTTTAGGTGGCAGAGCGCTGTCTAGATGGCGCTCTGCCATCTAAATATTTACAAGTATATATCGTATATTTTAAACTGTATGACACTTTTAGTATATGTCACATATCTTCCAATTTGTTAGAGCCTATACCTTATTATTAAAATGTACACTATTTCTATTTACTACCACCCCATATTTTGTATATAAACTTTTTGTATTTAAACCCCCTATTTGTATGTAAAACTAAAAATGTTGACGTCAAATTAAATATCCAAAGAGAGAGCGGTCAGCTGATGGCAGGGACAGAGGGGAGGAAAAGGGCAACGCTCAACCCATGTGGGGTCCCGGGGGACATTCTTATAGACCACCCCCCTGTAAACAGGACAGGTTTTGGCAGGGGGTCAGCAGATGGTTCTAGAGTGTGTTTCTCGGCAGTCCGCTTCAGCCTGTCTCTCTCACAGACACTCGCTCTCCATGTTTCGGTGATAGGCATCCAGTTTTGTGTCATGGCCTCTACCTCTGTCCCGTGGGCTGTCCCCGATCACTCTCTGTGTTAACATCTAGCCCTGCCTCTGCTTCTTGTTGTCCGCGCGTGGGAAGAACATCAACACTCGCCTAACGTACACGACTGCCAGTTTATCCATACGTCGGCAGAATCACATTTGCAACAATATTGGCAAAATAAATGTTTTATAAAATCCAATATATGCCTTTTATTATCTAATATATATATATATACATTGACCGGTTGATGATGAGGATATAACCCATTTATCTTCTGCTCTAATTATCATCAGGAGTTTATGTGATAAAATAAATCTTAAATTTTTAATTTATCATATACATCTATAGAAAGGTTTGTGATACCCGAAAGCTTGATATGAATATACAGTAAAACAACAAACTCACCCTCGGAAGCTTTTTTGTTTATTATTTATATTTATTACAGTGAATTTTACTTTCCTGAATGTACATATATACTATATATATGTAAAACAACACTTGAAGTTACACCGCATGAGTTTCTTTTCAATGAAAAATCAAAATTTATTTCAAGGATGGGAATCGAACCCACTATTATTTTTCCGTTCATCATTACTTTTCATAGTTCACCCTTTCATACCTCATCCAAAAAGGTTAGAAATAGTCAATATTTCACCTTGAAATAAATTTTGATTCTTCATTGAAAAGAAACTCATGCGGTGTAACTTCAAGTGTTGTTTTACAATCATAAGCCGCAGTGTATTATATTGTACTATTTATGTATGCACGTATATATATTTGTGCTTTAATGATTTCATTTCTTATATGTAAATGGCGCGTTATATATATATTATATAATCTAAAATACACAAATATTTTAGTTTTTTTAAAACATATATTTCATTTTCATTCATTGACTGATATATATTTTTGACCATAGATTCAGAACATACCGACTTTAATTATTATTGTTGTAAATATGTATAGTTAACCCTACCTTTTTAAATTAAAATCACGATAATAGAATTTATTCTATAAATTCCATATTGCTGTGATAAATAATTTTATGTGTAATTTTACTTCAAGTAATTCAAAATAAAATCTACTTGAAAGGTAAATAATTATCTTTACTTTTTCACGACTGCACCTCTTTTAAACAACAAAACACAAAAATAATTGTAACATATATATATTGATTTATAATTAATATAAACTATATTACAACTATTTAATAAAGTTTTCCTGCGAGAGGATAGTGAATATAAACTATATATTAAAAGATTAGGAACTCTTAATAATTGGTATATACGAATAAAAATAAAAATAAAACGATAAGAGGAGCTTCTTTTATGAATTTTAATGCGCAAGCTTTCGGACTAGACGTCCTTCTACAGGCATGGATAGTGGTAATACTAACCTTTACTAAAAGAAAAATTAAAATTTGAATTGAAAATATAGAATTAAAAATTAATAATTTAAAATTTACATATATGACATATAATTTACTGCGGTATAATCTATATATAATATAAAGTTGCGGGAAGAATGATATTCATGTAATAAAAGAGGCACCTCTCCCTTTAAATGTGCATTGGAACGATGCATTCACCCCAGTAAAAATACAAGTGATGGTAAAGAAGGAGCCACAACCTCAGTTTTGGTAAATTCAGACACAAAAAAGCCAACCTGTATACCATGTGGTTTCGGGATTTGTTTTTCATTAGTATAGGGACGGCTTTTTTACTAGGGTGATACACAATGTTCTGATGCATACTTGAAAAGGAGTATTATTTAAGGAGAAAAGGAATATTATTATCATTAAAATCATAATATTATGTGTGTTCCGGAATATTATTATCATTAATATCATAATATTATGTGTTATAAATGACTGCGGCGTATGATTATAAAGCAATACTTAAAGTTTAACCGCATAAGTTTCTTTTATTTGTGAAAAATCAATTTTAATTTCAAAGAGAAATATCTAATATTTCTAACTTTTGGATGACGTATGAAAAGGTTGAATATATGAAGAGTGATGGTCTATATATGATTGGATGACGTATGGAAGGGTGAAAATATGAAGAGTAATGGCGAACGGAAAAATAAAAGTGTCCAGGGGCGGGAATCGAACCCACAACCTTTTGCTTACCGGGCAGGTGCCATGTCCACTAGGCTATCCTGGACGTATTTCTCCGTTCGTAACTAATACTTAAAGTAACTTATAATACATTATAAATGACTGCGGCGTATGATTATAAAGCAATACTTAAAGTTTAACCGCATAAGTTTCTTTTATTTGTGAAAAATCAATTTTAATTTCAAAGAGAAATATTAGATATTAGATATTTCTCTTTGAAAAATTAAAATTGATTTTTCACAAATAAAATAAACTTATGCGGTTAAACTTTAAATATTATGTGTGTTCCGGAATATTATTATCAATAATATTCGTTAGGCAAACTTTTCCTCGATAAAACCCGGGCGAAGCCGGGTACAACCGCTAGTATACTATATATATTATGATGCATTAGCACGTCATCTGTTATGAGAATTTAAAACTATTTTAGACTTGTATGTTTCTTTTAAAAATTAAACAATTATCTACCGCCCTTACTGCAATGAAAAATTAATATTTGGGCCTGACCCATCAGTGGTTAAACCTCCCAGCAGTTTCGCCAGCTCTCCCAATATTTTTTTCATCGCAGTATGGACAGTAGAGAGGTTTGATTTTTGTGAAAAAAGAAGCATTCGTTTTTTTTTGCTAATCCCTAGTACACGTGGTACAGGCCATGATAATTATGGTGGGTAGTAGTAGGTGACTGCTTTTACTGTAAGTACCACCACATGTCTACATATGTGAAAGCAGTTCGACTTTGCACTTACAAATGTGCCAGAGCCCCTTTGGTTACTTGCACTCGCTGGTGGGGTTGGACTTTTGCAAGAATCGGGGGGCCATTGGAGCATTTTTTTTAAACAGAAAAAAATGTCCAATGCGGGAATCGAACCCGGGTCGTAGTGATCGAAAACCAAACGGTTCAACCAGCCTTCCACCGACCCCCCAGAAGCATTCGTAACTTTGAATGTTTTCATTTATTATGTAGAGACCGGGCGTTATTGCTTTATATACTGTATATGTCTCAAAAGAAAATAAAAAGAGCGTTTACTATTACACCAATCTGTTGTGATAGTTAACGAGATGAGAGAGACGAAGAATGCCCAATAATAGTTTAATGACAGCAGCAGCGTGACGGTCAAATTGGATTACTTGACTCCAGATGACGTGAGATGTTTAAGGAAAGCACAAATTACTTTTAAAATTAATTTAGAAGCGAAAATCTAATTTCTCAAACTTTTCATTATCGAGACAGAGGCACTATGAATGAACATATGTTGTTAACGTAGTTTCTTCATAATGAGGATATTTCTCTTAATTATCAAACTTAATTAAAATCGAAACATTTTAGCGTTAGAACTAAAAAAACTTTGAAACAATTATAAAAATGTTTGGTTAACCAAAGTTCATGGAGCGAACATTACGTACTTTTATATTTTTTACGATATAATACATTATAATATGCACATATGTTGTATATGTAACGTAGTTTTACTTTTTATCATTATTCACGTTGTAATATGCACATATGTGGTCAATTTTGCGTTCCAAGAACTGCCAAATTAGCATTGTTTATATTAGTAATGATAAAGACAGCCCTTAATTATGCAACTAAACGATGTAATATGCACATATGTTGTATATGTAACGTAGTTTTACATTATTTATGATAAGGATTAACCCAAATTATGCAACTAAATGTTGTAATATGCACATATGTTGTCAATTTTGCGTTACAAGAACTGCCAAATTAGGATTGTTTATTATATTAATGATAAAGATAGCCCTTAATTATGCAACTAAACGATGTAATATGCACATATGTTGTAAATGTAACGTAGCTTTACATTATTTATGATAAAGATTATCCAAAATTATGCAACTAAATGTTGTAATATGCACATATGTGGTCAATTTTGCGTTCCAAGAACTGTCAAATTAACATTGTTTACATTATTAACGATAAAGATAGCCCCTAATTATTCAACCAAACGATGTAATATGCACATATGTTGTAAATGTAACATAGCTTTACATTATTGATGATAAGGATTGCCCCAAATTATGCAACTAACCGTTGTAATATGCACATATGTGGTCAATTTTGCGTTCCAAGAACTGCCAAATTAGCATTGTTTATTATATTAATGATAAAGATAGCCCTTAATTATGCAACTAAACGATGTAATATGCACATATGTTGTAAATGTAACGTAGCTTTACATTATTGATGATAAGGATTACCCCAAATTATGCGACTAAATGTTGTAATATGCACATATGTGGTCAATTTTGCGTTCCAAGAACTGCCAAATTAGCATTGTTTATATTATTAATGATAAAGATAGCCCTTAATTTTATGCAACTAAACGATGTAATATGCACATATGTTGTATATGTAACATTGTTTTACATTATTTATGATAAGGATTACCCCAAATTATGCAACTAAATGTTGTAATATGCACATATGTTGTCAATTTTGCGTTCCAAGGACTGCCAAATTAGCATTGTTTATATTATTTATGATAAAGATAGCCCTTGATTATGCAACTAAACGTTGTAATATGCACATATGTTGTATATGTAATAAGAATAGCCCCTATTTATTCAACTTTCGATATAATTTGCACCTATGTTATTAACAAAGCATCGATTTACTGTTTAATGTGAAGCTAGCTCCTGATTCAAATAAAGAAATGTTCTAATAGTTGTCGATATAAGGTTACAATTTAGATGAAGAGGATGTTTTATCAACGTGTAACTAAGTGATGAGGATGCCTAATGTAATAATAGCCAAAATTCTATATTTACATGTCATAATTTGTATATAATTGTATGCACCCCCGACCCACTATGCATGTACAATGTATGATTTTCAAAGATTTAATAAAGAATCAGGTAACTGGAGGAAAGGAAGTGGCAACAAGACATAGGAAGCAGGCTAAAAGCGGGCACAAGTATAAATAACTTGTACAGTCAATACTTCCTCGCAAAGCCCGGACGTATCTGGTATCCGCAGAAGTTATATTAGTATAGAGACGCCCAACATTTCCGGACAGAACCGGACGTATTTGATACCGCGGAAGTAAAATAGAGTCGAGCTAACACCCGATACTTCCTATCAGGCCGGGCATATCTTTCACCAAAGAAAGCCGCCGGTCCAATTAGGAAGGAATAACTAAATAGGTCAACCAATAGAAAAACGGGCACGTTCCATCCTTCGACCAATGGGAAGGAAGACAACTCGTGGTGTTAAATCGAAAGACAAGAATTGTCAGTAGCGACTTGGCTCCCACCGAGTTCGGATCAGCCTTCGACTTGCTCCCACCAAGGTAACATCTGTTCTAGAGATCTCTCTCTCAGCTCAGCTCATAGCTAAGTCAATCACCACCATGTGATCAGATAAGGAACAATCAAAACCCGCTCCGCTCTTCTCAAGCTTTCTTCCCTCCAACCCAGTTGCCTTTTATTTCCAAACCCCATCACGTGTCCTGATTATTCCTAACTGTATGTTTAAACTTCCACTCAAACGACTGCGTTTCAACCAAATCTCACCATTCTCATCGAGCAACAAGAAATTCCGCAACGATATTGTCACAGAACGGTTAAGTCGACAGGATTCTACAACAGTGTAATACATCAAATATTGCAGTGTAATAACTTTGGATCATATTACATACACATAACACCTTAATCCTTTACAATTAACAATACGAGACAAAAACAATAAATCATTGTTGATGCCATCTGGATGTATTGTTATCCCTTTGTAGTGTTTCATTCTGAGTTTTTCCTGGACAGTGACGGCCGGCGGCTAACTTCGGCAACACCGGAGCTGACGTCACACCCGTACTTTCACTTTTTGTTTTTGTATCCTGCATCGGCGTAGCCGCGCTGACTCATATTTTCTTTCCCCATGATTACCATTTCATCGATATATATATAATCCTTTCACTTTGTTGTAGTTAATTAAAGAATAATTAACGTTAAGCGCTGTGTGTGTGTAATCAAATTGAAATACAACAGTTTTTTGTTAATGTAATTCTTCTCTCAGAGTTTATTTCGCATATTTGGCTTTTCCTTGTCTTTTGTCATAGGTTGTTGTTGCTCTTATTCCAACTATAGGTAGAAAGGAGTATTGGGATATTGAGTTTTCAATACTTTTTAGTAACGACGTATTTTCAATAAAACAAATCATATGTCAATGAATATAAAAAGACAAGCAATCTATGATAAAGAATACACTAAGATAATAAAAAGGCATAATATTGGATTGAATATATATTTTCGGATTGGATTTAATAGACGTCTTGCTGTAGGTATAATTCCACCTTATTTAATAATTAATCAAATATATACGCCTTTTTAATATCTGAAGATTTAACTATGGATTGTGCTCTATTTTCAGAAAGAGAAAACTGTAACAGAATATATAGATAAGAAACAAAAATATAAAACTGTGAAAAATAGTACAAATGTGATATTGTACTGGGATAAGATGCATAAATTATGAAAAAAAGGCATCTCCTTATCATGCAACTGAAAGTTGCTGATGGCTTGCGCCATCTTTCGGAATAAATATCAACTATTCTCGTTGATTTCTAATTATTCCAGAATTGGCCAATTACCCATTCTTGATTAATCAATAAAAGCCAATAAGTAATTGGCCAATTCTGGAATAATTAGAAATCAACGAGAATAGTTGATATTTATTCCGATAGATGGCGCAAGCCATCAGCAATTTTCAGTTGCACGATAAGGAGATACCTTTTTCATAAAATATAAAACTGTTTAATAATATTCTGAACATCTTTCTTATCATAAAGATAGAGGTTGCTTGGCCAGCATTCTTAATTCTTAAATTAAAGATACTTCGGCCTGTAAATCTTATTTATTATCTCGGCGTTTCGACAAAAATAGTTGGTCCTCCTCAGGCGCAAATATAATTAAAACATTTAGCATAATTTTTAACGCCTTGCCAAATGTTTTAATTTTATTTGCTCCTGAAGATTTTTGTCGAAACGTTGAGATAATAAAAATATTTACTGGCTAAAGTATCTTTAATTTT